ACTGGCAGGTGTTGAAAAGCCCAAGCCTAAGCCCAGCCAAGCTCTGGCAACTCCATCAGCATCAGTGGCAGGACCTTGGAGGAGCATCACCAGCGATTACAGCTGGGCTGATATTAATCTGCTCGTCTTGGAAGGGAGTGCCAGCTTCTGAAATGGCTATTTCCCAGAATATGAACTCTGTTACTTGAATATAGCCAGCAACGGGACCGCAGCCCCCTTTCTCCAATCCACTGCACTATGGGAGTGCCAAGTGTCTGATGTGATCAGGAAAGCCAGGGCGCTCAAAGACATGCCGTGATCCCCCACCCTGGTGTAGGTGCAGCAAAGCAAAGCTGCTTTAGGGAGGAAGATGTCTCACCTTCAGCTCTAGAAGAGGACACAGAGTCCATCTGGGCTGGGATATGAGAAAACTCCACTGGACACCTATGATCTTATTCAGGTTGCAGCAAAGACACTGGGCCATTGCCAGGAGGCTGCTGGGGGGAGTGACTAGAGGGACTCTGGGCACAGGAGCTGCCCCAGGATGTGAGCTGGTGGCATAGCTGCTGCTGGGGAACGGCCCACGCCTGGCCCAGGTGCTGTAACGTCGCGCAAGAGGCTTTGTGCTGGGGAGGCTGTCAAACACACGAAATCCTTCTTTTATGGCAAACTCCCAAGCCAGGTTGGCCACAAACTCTGCATTCTCCAGGCTGCTTTCACTTGGGGCTGGCTTCCCTGGGGACAAGAGAAGAACAGGACACCTTCGTTTGAGAGAGACTCATGTTACGTAGTCACATCCCAAACAGCGCTGTGTGTCCTTGCCTGGGCCAGCCCAGCAGGACTCCAGAAGACTCCTCGATAAGGAACACGAAAATAACTTGTTTTCCTCTGATAAAGACTCCCAGGCCAGACCTGATGCCTGCAGATAAACAGCTCTGAGAATTCACATCACCTCCCTGCTTCTGTCTCTCTCTGCCGTGGCTGGTGCTTAGTTTGAAGGTCTGAGAGCTCCACCTGTAGGACACGGCTCTGAGCTCTGAACTCTGGCCTCTGCTCGGTTCTCCCATGACAGAAAAGTGACCACACAGCAACCTCTGATCAGCACAAGCAGCAGACAAGAACAGAGCAGACCTTGCATCCAGCAAAAGGCAGCCACTGGGGAAATGCCCTGCGTGTGCTCCCCTTCAGACTTTTGTTTGCAGAACATATCCTGACTGCACAGCTCATCCTGCCTGAGAGGTTACAGCAGCCTCACACCCTCCAGAGCCTGTGCCATGGCAGGCAGGGAGGGGGCTCTGTGCCTTACAGGATCCTCTGTTTGCATCCATCCTGTCTACATGCAGCAATCATTCACTGCACGATTACTCCCAGGTCACTCATCTCCAGACCAAAATCAGATCTCTCATTTTGAGCCCTTATTTCCCACAGGAGCTCTATGCTGAAAGCACAAAACTGCCAGACAGGCCACGTTTTGCTGTGGCACCTGGAATTTCAGAGCTCTCCAGATTCACAACCAGGAGCGCCCAAGCCCCGCAGCTCATGGTGCCGGTCTGACCTCCCCCGGTTCAGTGTGAGAGCTCTCCCCACACTGGAGTTCATGTGTGTGTGCTCTCCTGGAGACCTGTGCAGAACAGAGGCAGCGTGGGTGGGTTCCTCACCTGCCCCAGAGCATTTGTAGAGCCCCTGCAGTGCTGCAGCCAGGCGGAAAAAGGCAAAGGCCATGTAGAAATTCCAGTTCTCGGGATGCTTCACCCCCATGCGGCCACAGTACATCTGGGAATACTCCTCTGCTGTGGGGACTCCCAGGTGCCCCAGATCACACTTCCCCAAGCCTGGAAGATGGAAAGAGACGGCCGTGAGTCAGCAGAGAGGGAGGAGCTCAGAGCGTCCTAGGGATGCTGTGAGGCTTGTGGCAGAGCCGTGCAGCTGTGGAGCAGCAGAGACACCTGCACCCATCCAGCACCTGCACCGCTGCTATGCAGTTTCCACACATAACAGCAGGGGTTTGGCACCAACCCACATAGCTGAAATGCATACGGGTACGGGACAGTTTTCTTCATTGGGGTGAGACTGTGAAAGCAGTGGCTGCTGGATCTTCCTCCTAAACGATGCAGTGATTTTCCTCTCTGTTTACTCCTGTACTGCTCTTTTTACAAGTGTATAACTTGGTGGACAAACCCCTTCTGGGCTGGCCTTGTTCACAGCTTTCCCGTCCTAAAGAGTTCCCTGGGTTTGCAGCTGAAGTGAGAGGGAAAATAATCCAAGCTGATTTTTAAATGCAGGTTTGCAAGCTGTGAAGCAGGGCCCTCCTCTCTGGGGCCATCACTGACAAGATTGGTAGCAAACGTCCATGTGCATGAACACGCTGACTGTACCCACCAGGACAGGGAGCGTGTGGCAGAGCATCTGTGAGACAAACCAGGGATGGGGCAACCACGGCACAGGGATCACTGCATGTGCAGGAAGGTGTTTCCACCCTGGAGGGATGGAGGGCTCCTCAGGGAGGGGAGAAAGTGTGGGGCAGGGAATATGGTAGGAGACCCATAGCCCTTTCCAACTGCAAGCAGCCCAACTGCCAGCTGAGCTCTCTGGGCAGGAGCTAATCTGCTTCTGGACTCTGGTTCCTCTCTCCATGGGTTAGATGTGACTTTTCCCTTCTCTGTACCTCTCAGTGCATTAAAGTGAGGTGGCAGGAAGTAGGCCATACAGTTATTCGCCAGATCAGAGATGGGATCTCCTAGAGTTGAGAGGTTCCAGCCAAGGACAGCAAGGACTTCTGGCCTGTCTGGATGAAAGACCAGGTTGTCCAACCTGTATCAGAGGGAAAAAGAGATCAGAAAAGTCTCAAGAGGAGAAAAAATGAATCCCAGTGCTCAGCAGCAGTTGGTGCTTTCCAGTGCTCTTCAGTCTCTGCAAAAAAATGCTGAGTCCTTTGAGAGGCTGCATGGGTGAAACATTAATTTCTGCAAGCATAGATCAGGGAGGACAGAGATCACCCAATAGTGAGCTCCCTGGTTAATGATACACTCACTGCACCGTGCTTTGAAGAATGCAACAGAGTTATTCAGGCTCTCAGATCATTAACAGATGTTACAGGGCAGGCTAGCAAAAAGGTAAAGCAGGCAAGTCACTGTCCAGGGGGGGTCTTCGAGTCGTTTCAAAGGCACTCAGTAACTCCAGGCCCTGCACCATCGTGTGCTGCAGGTTCTGTGCAGCAAAGCCTTCCCCAGCTTGAGCCCCAGGAGAGGGCAGCAGCCTGCTGAGGAGACAGAGGGCAGCCATCCTGCCAGGGTGCCAGAGCTCCCCAGCTTCCAGGCACACAGGAACTGTGCGTGATAACCTGGAGAAGTAGCTCTCAGCACCCCTCACCTCTGTCCCCAGCCACTGCATGGCCTCACCCGTAACACTGCCAGGTCTTGCTGTGCACCCTGCAGCATCTCACCAGCCTCCCAAACTCTCTAAGCACCAAATATCAGCAGCAACATGCTCCAGGGCTGATTTCTGAGCAGTGCAGGAACAGCTGATGATCCCCCAGTGTTAAATCAGCGTTTGCAGAGGTTGGGTGAAGAAACTGCAATGCCAATGAAGCAGCAAGATTGGAGTCAGACATCAGGAGTCCAGGCTTTCAGTTCCCGCCCCAATTTCCCTGCTCTTGATTGGGCACTGCTTTAAACTGTCACACAGCAGTAGGCAGATAAACACTGGGGGAAGATACGAGAGCTCTGGGTGTAGGACAGCACCACTCAGAGCTCTTGCAAGATGATTCTCATGACAGATGTGAAGGGCTTGTGGCCCTCTAGGCCTTGTTACCTGATAGGTGCTGAACTTGACCCAGAGCCCAGCTTTTGGATGGCCCAGTTCAGCACTTCCCTGGAGTCTGCACATTGCTCTACACTCTCTCTCCATCTTTACTGCCTGGGATGTGCTCCAGGGCAGTGCTGCCAGCCAAGCAGTACCTGAAATCACCATGCACAACTGTTGTCTTTTGAGATTCAGGAAAATGCAGAGGCAGCCACTTGATGAGTCTCTCCATGGCTGGGATAACACGAGTTTCCATAGCTCGATACTGCTTTGTCCAGGTCTCAACCTGCCTCTGGATGTAACTACCTGTAAAAAGGGAATGAAGGCTCTCAGGGAAAGGGATTGGCACAAAGAGGATTCAAAAGAGATGCATCAAAAATCCGACAGTCAAGCAGATCTCAGTCCAGCACCCTGAGATAAGCTCCAATAGTTTAACTGTGATTTCCAGGGGTCTCATAGATGACAGCAAACAAGTTACCCCTGCACCCACAGTGCAGCTCTAGCTCATGGCAAGGAGCTCTGGGGACTGCCAACAGGAAACACAGATCTGGAGGATCTGAAGCAGCTCTCTCCACACCCTCACACCATGCCTGGGGATTCAGACACCCTGCTGCCCAACTTTGCTTTGAAATGCTGATATACAGAAGAAAACAGTGACAGAGGATGCATAGCCTTCTCTCACCGTGCTCCCCAAAGTCCTCCAGCTTGGCTGCCCCGAGGTCTACACTGTGGATCTTGGAGAGGACTTGACTCATGGCAGCATACACAGCTCCCCGCTGGCAAGGCTGCAGTGTGGGGAGGGAGACGTCCCTGTAGACACGGCCAGCACAGTGCTCCATCAGGTAGAAAGGTGTGCCAAGGGTGCTGGGGAAGCAAGGTGGAACCCTCAGGCGGCTCTGAGGTTAATCCTGCTGCCCACCACCCCTCAGCTCTCACCTGCACCTTGAACGTGCCCCCAGACGTCATGGCAAGGTGAAGAGCAGCCTCAGCAGCACTTGTGCACTCGCCCCCAGCTGTGGCCTGGGCTCAAGTCCATCTCAGTTGCCAGCTGGTGGCAGTGGCTGCGGCACCATCACTCACGGTCCCTCCAGCCCCAGGGAGCTGAGCTTGGGGCCGGGCTGCAGCACCAAGCATCTCCCTGCAGTGAGCTCTGCAGCTGGGCTGTCAGCCTGCACGCCACCACCACCAACAGTGGACACACATTTAACTGCAGTGCAGAGGCTTGATTACCGCAGCCAGCAGAGATCTGAGCGAAGCTGTGCTGACTGCAGCCTAGACAGGGTGTCCTGGTGTCAGACTTGCTGCTATCGTGGCTGTAGATCTTGGGGCAAGTCTGAGGTCTGGCAGTTAAAAAAAATCACCTCCTTATTGGAAACCTGAGCATACTGAGTCAGTGGGAAGCCCTACAACGTTGTTTTATAGCTGCTTTTCACAGGAAGACAGCATTTTGATTAATTGCTAAAACAGGACACACCTAAACCAAGCCAAATCAAAGTGTTAGTGTCCTTTGAACTTCTAGAGGCTCCTGTAGCCCAAGACTGGGCAAACACTCATTAGACCAGTGCGCTTTGTGAGGTCTGGCTCCTTTTCTCCTCATCTTTGGGGCAATCTGGCTGAACTTGCCAAGCACAGAGCGAAAGCTGAGGAACAAGATTACCTCGTGTCCTCGCAGAGAGCAAGTACAGTAGGAACAGGAACACCAGCCTCAGAGAGTGCCTTCAGTACCCTGCCAGGGAGAGCCAGAGAGCCGTGTCAGCACAGAAAGGCATTAGGGAATCAATACCAGAACTGCCTTGTTGCTAGGCAGACACACAGTAATAAAGAGAGTCCTGGGCTCAGTTTTAAACACACTAAACCAACATGGCTGGGGGTAGGGGAAAGAACCCCACCAAAATCTTTGTATGGCCCAAAGCCCTGAGACTAACACACTCTGAAAATGCAAGGGGAGATCCCAGCAGCGCCCCACCAGTGTCCTGCTGCTGAGGCAGAGGCCTCTGGCACAGCAAACTGGTTTGCAGCGTGACCACCCCAGCATGGGGCTAGCCCTTCGCTGGGCTCCTCACTGATTTGATAGTGCTGTGGTGTTGTGCTGCAACCTCTCTCCCACCCAAGGTGCCAGACACGACAGTGACACTGGGACAGAGCACGGTCCTTGGGATGGGGTTGTCTGGGATCTGCTCCAAGAGTCTTCCTTGGTGAGCTGCATGAGGAGCACAGCCCCTTCCCACCTGTATTCCCTGCTGACAGCGGGGCCCGAGGGGTGCGGGCTGCCAGAGGGCTCCTTCTTCAGCACCAGCAAACGATCTCCACACTTGACACAATAGGTCTGGGTCGACTCTCCGTGGCCAAACTGTTGTAACACGAGCGGACCTGAAGAGTTGAGAGCAGAGGGTCAGCAGACAGAAACTGGGATTATTTCTCACCACATCTCCAAGTTTTACTTCCCCTTCCTGCACCTGGGTCCGAGATCTCACTTGCAGCAATCAGGAACCTACACTTAGCTCCCGTGTCCCAAATCACGAGCATGGCCATCGCTCATAGGTGGCTCACAGGCCGGCCACATTCCCAGCACCTCTTTGGCAACTTGTGCTCAGCCCTTCCCAAATGAGGAAGTCCTAAAATGTTGTTTCCCATTTCCGGGAAGCAGTGACAGATCATGGAAACCTGAACGGCTGCACCGTTTGCTTGGAGATTAGGGGCCTTACATTAATGTTATTTTTCAGTTCATCTGTTGTATGATGGGAAGAGCTGATGGCTCCAGAATGTGCAAGCTTTCAGGCTGAAGAGCAAAGTGTGCTGCAATACCTGTTGCCTTGTCACCGAGAATACTTTCAAGGTACTTTTGCAGATGACCTTTTGGGATGTCCATGCTTGGTCTCACTGAACGAGTATAGGGAACAAACCCTTGCAAAGGAAAACCCAGATAGGTTTCCAGCTCTTTGAGTGCTCCTTCTGGGTCATCGACCTGAAAGCAGAAGGGAGGGAGAAACACGTGGTGATGGTTAAAAGGTTAAATGGTCAGGGAAACAAAGAGCTGTGCACACTTGTGTTGCATTTATCTGTGAGTCCAACAGCACCAATCCACTGGGGCACACAGGAATTCACGGCTCAGTCCCTGCCAACACAGAGCACCATCACCAATGCTGGCTGAGCCTCCAGCCTCGGGCTCTGTCCTGGAGATGAATGTGCTCTGGTGGCACAGGCACTGTGGGCTTGGCTGGGCTAAGGGCTGGAGTTCCCTGTGTGTAGCCCAGGGGAGCGGAGTTCACTCTCCCCACCAGCCCCACACTTGTCCTTCCCCCTCGCCAAAGCAAAACCCCTGTGCTCACTATCTCCAAAGCCTGGGGGTTAACCAGGCAGCTCCCAGCTGACAGATCCATGAAGCCTCACGGCTTCTGGAAATGTATTAAATACATCTTGCTATCTCACATCAAATGGATGTGGTTGTGTCCACCACACGGTCAGGGCTGTTTCTCTTATGGAGCTGAGGTCCATGACAGAGAAGCGACTTCTCCGAGGTTCCACTGGCTGCAGGGTTTAAAGCTGTGAATGAAACAGGCCAGACTTTGCCAGTAACCCTCCCTTTTAACTCCAACACATCCTGTAGGAACAAGGACGGGCTAAAACAAAAGGCTTGGCAACACGAGCCAGCCTCTGCCATTGAAAATCCTGAGCCATTCACATCAAACACAGCTTCTAGACTTAGAAACCATACCCAAACCTTGCCCTGGTTGCATTGCTTTGTACCTTCACCGTTTTAATGCCAAGCTGGGCAGCTGCTTTTAGGTTCTGGCTGCTGTTGTCGAGGAAGATGGATTCCTGGGGCTGAACGCCCAAGCGTTGCAAGCACAGCTTGTAGATACGAGGATCTGGCTTGCGCATCTCTTCCCCATAAGATTCAACCACCTACAGCAACAGCAAATGGATTATGCATGAGGCTGCTGCGACCACAAACATCTGTGCAGTGCTGGAAACGGAGGATGGGAGGGTGGGAAAGAGACCGATGGTCTCATTAACATGTGAAATAAAGGGCATGGGGAATGGAGGGCTGACAGGGCTGGATAGGACGTGATTCAAAGGACTGCAGGGGTGCCAATTGCTTGACTGTGGCTCTGTCAGCTCAAATAAGCTGAGCAGGATCAGCCAGTCCTCAGTGGAAGATGTCCAACGAGATGTCACAATGTGGGAGGCTCTATGGATGTCCCAGACTGTGCTGAACCAACTGCTCAGTGCTGTCCAAAAAGGCCTTGGATTGCACCACCTTCCAAATGATCTGGAGAAGTGGTGTCCTGACCATTGCTCCTAGCAAGAGCTCATAATCATCTGCCCAAATTTAGATCAAAACCATCTTCAGGCCATCTCTGAATACTCACATTGCCCTCAAAACCATACAAAATGCAGGCAATATTTCACCCCTGCACTGATAGACACTCTAGGAATAGAAATGAATCTATTAGTGAGACATAAAAGCCAATCCTAATGGAAATTCACATTAAATTCTTTTTTTTCCCCACTAATTATTGTGCAGTGCTGTTGCCTGCTGGTACAGAAGAGCCACACCGCATGAGTGATGACACCACATGGGCCGTGGTTATTAAAGTGCTTTGAAACACTCCAGGATGAAAGGTACCGCAGGGCACCACAACAGAGCATCGCTCCACTGAGAGAACTTCATAGGAAGTGGCACTGGTAGCGTTGATGACTTTAAACAGCCCCAAGTTTTAAATGTATTGATACAACTATTCTCTGCATATTTTGTTGTCTTAATCAAGACTATAAGGCAAACTTAAGTCATTAATGAACTCCTGGAATTCAAAGAGATGAGCTGAGGTACAGAAAAAAGCAGATTTTCTGTCCTGCTGAGGCGGGTCCTCGTAGCTGCCTGCTACAGCAAAGCCACTGGGCCCAGCCTCCATGGCTCATCTTCTGCTTCACCTTCGCAGACTGTGCTGGCGTCACGGGATTTTTCTAATATGGGGGATGCTTTCAATTCTTTGGGATGAAACAAACTTTAAAAGAATAGAAAGCAAGCAAGGGCACTGGGTAATAACATTTATTTCTTGCATAGTGTTCCAGCTGCAAGGTCCTTCATTTACATTGCTAGCTATGGCTGCTACACGTCCACTTGTGGTTGCGTGGCCATTTTGCAATGAATTTTCAAATGCACAGGTACCTGCCACTCGCTCAGCCCCTCTTCAAGGCCCAGTCACTGCAACAAATGATGCCAAGAAACATTTGAGCAGATTTACGTTTGTGTCTACTGACGCGCGGTGCTGGTTGCCGTTCATCTGGTACCTGCGTGTAAAGAATTTGGGTTTCTGCTTTCTACAGCCCTGCATTTTGGACTCCATCCAGGCTTACCACATCAAAGTGCTTTCGGTCGAGCAGCAGAGAGCTCTCTCCATTCGGCAGACAGAAGTTGTGGCTTAGAAGAGCTGTCTTAAGACCTTCTGCACGGATACACTGTGCTGCTTCTGCCATGATGGGGAGCTGTTTTATCATCTCATTTCTGATTAAGTCCGAAAGAAAAGAGTCCACTGGAACAGAGACGTTTGCCTAAGAAACCAGAGAAACCCCCAGGAATGATAATTAGCCATAGATGGTTTTTAAGCAGGGAGGAAAATAAGAGTGGTTGGGTAGGTCGGTTCCCTGAACATCTTATCTTGCTCTCCTACTTCCTCTGGCAGCGGGAGGCAGGCAGTGAATCTCCCAGCTAAATTGTTTAGGCCAAATAAACAAGCTTTCTCACATTACTAATTCCAGAGCAGCAGCAGCAGAGATAAAAGGCCAATTTTGGGAAAGAGAAATGCACTAGGGCCGTGCCTGCCATGGAATCAAGGCAGGTTAGAGATAAACACTGCTTTACCACTCAGCAGGCAGGAGAGGAGTCTGCAGTGAAGACTGAGAGGAGTCTGCAGTGCAGACTGAGCTGTTTCAGAAAGACTTTATTCAAAAGAGGATTCTTGCACTGTGTTGCTGGAGCTGTGGTGGAGCAAAAGCCTTTCAGCTGGTCTCTAATTGATCCTAGCAGCATCTTGAAATAAGACAAGGTATGAAGTATGCAGGAAGAGGCTGGTGGAAGTGAAGGCAAATTCAGCTGATCATAGAATCACAGAATCACAGAATCACAGAACGTTAGGGATTGGAAGGGACCTCAAAAGCTCCCCCAGTCCAATCCCCCTGCCGGAGCAGGAACACCCAGATGAGGTTACACAGGAAGGCGTCCAGGCGGGTTTTGAATGTCTGCAGAGAAGGAGACTCCACAACCTCTCTGGGCAGCCTGGGCCAGGGCTCTGTCACCCTCACTGAGAAGAAGTTTCTTCTCCAATTGAAGTGGAACCTCCTGTGTTCCAGTTTGTGTCCGTTACCCCTTGTCCTATCATTGTTTGTCACCGAGAAGAGCCTGGCTCCATCCTCGTGACACTCACCCTTTAAATATTTATAAACATGAATGAGGTCTCCCCTCAGTCTCCTCTTCTGCAAACTAAAGAGCCCCAGCTCCCTCAGCCGCTCCTCATAAGGGAGATGCTCCACTCCCTTGATCATCTTTGTAGCCCTACGCTGGACTCTCTCCAGCAGTTCCTGTCCTTCTTGAACTGAGGGGCCCAGAACTGGACACAATATTCCAGATGCGGTCTCACCAGGGCAGAGCAGAGGGGGAGGAGAACCTCTCTGACCTACAACCACCCCCTCGTCCTGCCTGGGTACCAGAATGGCGATGGCAGTGGGAAGTCTGCCCTGATCTGACAGCAACGCTTCCTAGATGGTAAACCCAGGCCCTTCCATCAAAGAATTTCTTTTAAAAGCTCCTCTTTCCTCACTGAACCACCACACCGCAGGATCCCGTTTCCCTGCAGTCAGGAAGCCCAAAGAGAGGAGGGGGGAGTTGGCTTACAATCTCAAAGCACTGCTGTCCCAGCTCTTGCAAAAACTCCACAGCTGTCAGCTCTCCTCTTGAGTACTTGAGAGAGGGACTGTTTTCCCCTCCAGAGAGTAAAGCTTGCTGGATGGTGCCGGCTGGAATACAATTCCGGGCCTCCCAGTCTACATGGAGAAAAGTAAGAAAGCTAGGAAAGAGCACGTGTGGCACTGTCAGAACTGGGAAATCAGCTTGAAATCCCTCTGAAGTCTGAAACATCAACCAGCAGCCATGTGAACTGATGTGTTGGACTGGGGTAATTTATCCCAGAGAAGAAGTTTTGGCGCTCCCCCAGCTGAAGCACCTCACCTCTATTTATGGTGTGGTACTCTTGGGGTGAAAATACAGAGTTTTCAACATGTCCTGAAGGACTGAACCAACGTTGGGTGGTACCAGCTGGTGTCACCATGGGACAGTTTCCTTACCAGGCAGGTTCAGGCCCTGATCTGGAGTTCACAGTGTCACAGATTGTCAGGAGTTGGAAGGGACCTGGAAAGCT